ATTCCCACCGCCAGATTGAGATGATAACACAAGTCAGGATTAATGAAATCCATACTTCCCCACTTGTATTCTTGAGTTAAAAGTTGGTACACCTGTACAAATGATTGATTGCATCATTCCCTGTTCTTAGCTGTCAGTATCTGCAAATACTGTGATCTTCTATTGTTGTAAGCCACCTGTAATATGGTTACCAAGCAGCATCATATCACCTCAAACCAGTTCAGCCATCTCGTTTTGAAACAACTTTCATGTCAAGTAACACTCTTTATTGACAGGAGGCCTACTTACAGTTACTTTTTTTAAAATATGTGAAAATATTTCACTCACTGTTGATGGCTGATGTCGGTTTCCAGTTTATCTCTAGCTGTACTGGTTCTTTACTTCATGAAGAAACAGGTGCTTTCCCTTCCTATGTCTCTCTTACAGTGTTCTTTACCCAAAATGGATTGGACATGAAAAACAACGGAAAAACCCAGCAAATTCCCTGCAGGGCAATCCTAGATCAGTGATAGCAGGGCTTTTCCCTCCAAATAAGAGACATGTGTTTTCTTCATACCCAGGGGTGGAATTAGGAAATTCTGGGCCCTAGGCATAGACAGGCAGGGAGCCCTCTGAACTGAGAAGACAACACATAAAACAGACCCAATATACAGATACAGAAATTTTAATAGAATAGACATACATTATTTGTTCTACGTTTTGTCCCTCCCTTCTTGTCCCTTTTCTTGTTGTTATCCTCTCTATGTTTTTTACTCAGCTGATTTTTCAGGCTGTCTCAAAAGGAATGAAAGATTTCTTTTCCAAGCACTAAGCTCACTTAGCTGATTGATCCTTCCTGTGTTTCCAAAAAGGCGACGGCCAAAGTAAATAACACAGTCCTTCTGCTCACTGTGGACAAGACATGATCTGCTCCATTTTTCATTTGCATGAAGTAATAGCAGTGTGAATCATGACAACAGACAAGATAGAGGAGAGCAGGAGGCGGAGTTACGAATCTACATGCTCTGAAGAGCAGAGCTCGGTGCTTTTATATGTTGTTGCCAAAGTCTCCAGTAGCAGAAAAAATAAATATAGCGACAAAAGCGCTAAATTGGAAACACTGCTCTTCGCATCTGCTGCCTGTTTGGACCTTTCTGAACTTGTGTAGCAAATGGATTGATCCAATGTGGTGAAAACTGAAGGGGAGAGGGCTGAGACACACTTAAGCGTTCTGATGGCATTTTAGCGAAAGGATCTTTATCAAAAACATAATTAATGTGCACAAATAAGGAATAGTTCGGTAAACCATACATGTAAACAGAGTTTTATGGGGCCCCCAGGAACTTGGGGCCCTAGGCAACTGCCTAGTATTGCCTAATGGTAAAGCCCCTCTTGTCCATACCAACTGCATGTTTAGGGTTCCACTTGCAGAAGAATCACTGGACCAACAAAGATTGATATTCTAAAGTACGGCAACAGTTTACAATTCAACAGAATCATTTGCATCATAATCATTTTGCAAGTGAAATTTACTTTAATCCTTAAAGATTCAGAGGATTGAGATAAACAGAGTTTACATCTCTGGATGCAAACTTTTTTAAATTGTTCTATTTTAATGAAAATTAGCAAAAAGACCTGCATTTTGTTGGCCTTCTATAGTGACAAACTTAAGTGTTTATTGTTCCTTTAATCAGCTCTAATTTATTTATTTTTGATAAACAAAGGAAAGCAAAATAGATCTATTTATATAGTGTGTCTCCTCCTTTGCTATTATTTTTGGGATAAACATTAATCATTTCTGAAAGGCAATGTTCTCCATTGCAGAGCTACAGGAGGACCAGCAGACTGAAAGGAGTAAACTGTTATTAAAATCCTGTTGACAGCAAAGCAGATAGAAGGTGAACATGCTAGGCACTGTCCTATAAAGTGAGGCATGTCTGGACAGGCTTTAAGAGCCATGCAAGCCAATGTTGCATCATCAGAGCATCATCAGTCCACACTTGAGCCCATTTGACCACACCTCTGAGGTCACTATGACCACATTCCTAAGAATAGCCAGAGTTCAATCTGAAACACGCTTCCCTCCAGCCCAACCCAACAAGAAAAAAACACAACAACATGACAACAACAAAACAGTTGTGCCGTCTCTCTACCAGTACCTCTGCTGCTGCCAATGTGCTGGGATTAGCAGTGACCTTTTCTTGAACAGCTCTAAATCTAATTAGTCTATATGTCTCATCATCCGCCTTAGTGCTCTGGTCATAAAGATAAACAAACTCATTCATAAAGAAGCCCTACTGCTAAGGACCAATGGCCCAGTGTATAAGACTTTAATATGAATGAATGAATTTTATTGGGGGACCCACATTGTCAATAGTTTATCCATCTATTGGTTGAATGCAACATAGATTTAAATCCATGAGATTTAATGTGTAAAATTACAGAGAAACTAAATCAGAAATAAAAGGGATTGGTGCATCTTTTGTTTTAGAACACCCAAGAAGGGCCATTTTACAGCAGAACAGGCAAGTTTATTTGTATACCGGTACCTCAATTCCTTACATGGACATTTCAAAGTGCTTTACCTGAATTAATTAATAAAATAGAATAAAAATAAAAGCAAATAAAGATTAAAAAAAAAACATGTGCACAATTGGACAACAACCTTAAACCAATAATACACTAGTAGTTTAACTTCAACAGTCAAAGGCAGCTCTAAACAAATGGGTTTTTAACTTTGACTTAAAAGAGCTCAGGCTTTCAGCACTTTTACAGTCTTCTGGGAGTTTGTTCCATAAGTGGAGCATAGGAACTAAATGCTGCTTCACCATGTTTGGTTCTGGTTCTAGGTGTACCGAGTAGGCTTGGACTAGAACAGGGGTCGGCAACCCAAACTGTTCAAAGAGCCATAGTGGAACCCAAAAAAACCAAAAACAAATTCCTCTGGAGCAACAAAATTGTGAGTCTTATATAAGCCTCGTGTGGCAACACGGGCTCTAAATGTATTAGCCCACTATAAAAAGGGACTATGTGGGCTTAAATATATAACAAGTATTCATGATTAAATGTTTATCTTGGACAAAATGTCAAATCATGTGACTATTCCGCTGTACGATATTTGGTGCTTTAAGCTTAAATTCCATTGTAGCACAAGGTGAGGGAGGAGCAGTGGGCGTTCTCACCACACTCGCCACTTCAGTGCGTGGTTTATATTCTATCTAATAGGTTTTGTTGCATTTGTTAAGTTAAAGAACCACCATAAAGACGCTAAAGAGCTGCATGCGGGTTGCCAAACCCTGGACTAGAAGACCTGAGTGGTCTGGGAGGTTGATACACTGACAGCAAATCTGTTATATATCAAGGTGCTGATCCATTCAGTGATTTATAGACTAACAGAAAGATATTAAAGTCTGTTCTCTAAGCTACAGGGAGCCAGTGGAAGGACTTCAGAACAGCGCTGATGTGTTCTATTTTCTCCTTTCTTAGCTCTAGTGAGAACACTGGCAGCAGAGTTTTGGATCAGCTACAGCTCTCTGATGGACTTTTTAGGCAAACCTATAAAGACACTGTTGCAGTGCCTTACACTATATAAATACATGTAAAGCACTCTCTGTACTGGACGCACCACTTTTAAAGTACTATAAATTCTTTACATTGCTATATTAGGGATTTTGGTATTAACATTAAATCACCAAACAGTATATTTTTATAATAAAAGCCTATATTTTATGATCAAACAGCCAAAGCGTGTGTACAGTTGGTTTATTAATTAACTGTAGTTGCAAAGAAAGTGCATGGCGATAAATATTTACTCCTTAACACAGACATTATAACTTGATATGACTTTAATAAAAAAGAAAACATGTACTTCTTTCTCCACCTTCTGAAAATGCATTGAGTACAGAGTTCAGAGTACAGTGTTCACACCCTATGTGAGTTTATATCAATGGCATTATATTACAAAGCCAGCCTGTGTGTCTTTGACTATCAGCCCTAAAAAACCCTGTGGCTCTTTTCATAGATAATAACCATGGTATTACCAGTGTTCTGCAGCGTAACCACTTGTAAGTAATGAGAAAAGAGTGACATACTGACATGAGGGAAAAGAGGCAATCAATTACAGTTCCTCTACAGTGGCCACATCCTGTCAGTTGTATGTGTTGGCAGCTTGTTACATGACCCAATTATAAATTCTGTATTC